AGTGTTTCGCTGGCACTTTATACGTCTACTCGATGACGGCTGAGCCAAAATCGCACTAGATATTGACTTGACCTCGCTTTTGTTAAACCAGGCAGGATGGTGTTCCCGCATGCGCTTGGACTGTAAAAAGTAACTGCCTAAATATTATGCATTTTTATCATTGATTTTGACTGCCTTTATAAATTCAAATATATATGCGGAAAAATTCGAGATCTGGATAAAATATTATTTTCATCATCCTCGGAAGAGGAGGGAGAAGAAGAGAAGATTTCTGGGACCAAGGTGTATTTTGGATGACGCTTCAAAAGCGTGCTCGCTTCCGTCGTTAGATCGTGATGTCTGTACTCCTGTTCGCGTCAGATGAATGCGTCCGACCACTTGCCTTGCCTAATGCTCATGTGTCAATCGATTGCTCTGATCGATTTTTGTGGCTGCTTGAAATGTTCGTGCCCTCACGGGCGTCTTCATGAGCTGTGCCAATTCGTTTTTGTGTCTCATGAGCGTTTCCACCCTCTTTGTTCGCAGCTGCCGGCTATCGGCCCTGCTTATCTCTCTCCGCCCGACCCAATGCTCCGTTCTGAGTCGATGTTAGCAATTTGCGGAGCGCTTGATAGGCGGGATGAAGGTCCATGGCTCTGTTTAGTATGCCAGTCGAGGACAACTTTCTAGCAGCAATCTGGCCATCTTGTCGTTGGCTCGGCGTATTACCCTTGATTTTTCAAAGGCAAATGCGTGTTTCTTTTGCTGTACGTGGTCATAGACCAAAGACAGCTTATCTTTGCATGAAAAAATTATTTATTGTACTCAATTAGTAGCAAATAACCCCTTCTTTAAATGCTATACTTAAAGAAAGTACATCTGTCGGTTTTGAAAAAGTTTATAACTTGCCGAATAATTTTGAAACCTACTAACTGGTACACTAGAATTCAAGGTTTACAAACTGCGCGCTGTGTACATCTTGTTCAAGGAGAAGTACGTTTCGCCTACAGGTTGAGCAAAAAGTTTTATAGTTCTCATAAAATATTGCAATAGATGTGGAGCATGCTTTATACAATATAGGCAGCATTAATAAATTGACGGATACGATGTTGTGTGAATGAACACCTCACCATCGTAAAAAGTTCATGGTTAAAACATCTTCTAAAACCGAAGGATACACCTTCTTTAAATGTTAAATTTAAAGAAGGCGTAATTTGCCACCAATCGAGTACAAGAAATAATTTTTCCGTGCATATTTACCATTACATATATTTGAATTTATGAAGGCAGTCAAAATCAATGATAAAACGCATGCTATTTATGTAGGTACCTTCTACAGTACATACGTTTTGTTAGTAGTCTGAACGAAGCTCGTTAAAAAGCCCGAATGCTATCATGACTGAAACAACTTCAGAATAGACTGCACGATAATCAGTATCACAATCTGAGTCAGTGCTAAGTAGCGAAAGAATTTCAATCTTTCGCCTATGTCGGCATATTGCACGAATTCTGGCGCGTACAGTAAGCATGTTGCAAACGGGCAGACAGTAGTATACCTTTATGGTGTAATTAACGCTACTGGCAGCACAGATACTAGTTAAACGCCCAGACACATGTTTTGTCGGTATTCTGCTGCCGTTTGACATGACTGCGAGGGTTCCGGCTAATTAATGGATCCCCTGACCTACAGCGAGCACAGAAAGTAATTTCCAAAGAAAAGAAAATGTTCGCCATTCAAAACCAGTATATTGACCAGAAAGCAGACAGAGAAAGCGGGGGGATCCCCAGTAGCTGTGCTGAGTAGTGGCAACATACCAAAGAAACACGAACCTGAGCTTTTAGTTAGTACCGTTGCTGCCAGTGTAGTAAAATTACAA